TTCCTCACACCGTTCCTCACACTGTTCTTCACACACTGTTCTTCTCACACTGTTCCTCACACCGTTCCTCACACTGTTCCTCACACTGTTTCTCTCACTGTTCCACACACTGTTCCTCACACTGTTCCTCACAGTGTTCCTCTCACTGTTCCTCAGACTGTTCCTCTCACTGTTCCTCACACTGTTCCTCACACTGTTCACACACTGTTCCTCAAACTGTACCTCACACTGTTCCTCTCACTGTTCTTCTCACGGTTCCTCACACTGTTCAACACACTGTTCAACACACTGTTCCTCTCACTGTTCCTCAAACTGTTCCTCACACTGTTCCTCTCACTGTTCCTTTTGTAAACCTGCCCGAGGTCTGGCTGACAGCTTTTACCCAACATTTGCGTAAACATATGCATCACCCCGGCAGTTTGTTTAAATTGTGATCGTCTTTGTTGTCTTAATTGTTTATCAGTGTTTCCTTTCTCCATCTCTTCTCCTCTGTTGTGTAGCTGCCACCGACCTTTGGGAGAGCACCGGACAGGAAGTGGCCTCTGCGCTCCGGGCTATGGGTTTGCCGATTGGGCCGGTGGTTACCATGGAACCAGGCAGCAAAGGCAGGGCTCGGGAGGCGCTGAACGAAATCAGAGAAGCCGACAAGGTCAAAGGTCAGAGCTAAGAGATGATCGTTAAGTTGCATCCCTGAACTGAACACATCAGATCAGAGAACTTTTTATTTCACCTTCAGTGGTCATCATGTGCATGAGCTCTGTCCTGATTGGTGGAGAGGATCAGAGGGAGGTACTGCTGACCGCCCTGGAGATGGGGATGGTTTCCAATGGTTACGTGTTCATTCCCTACGACGCCCTGCTGTACGCGATGCCCTATCAGGTAACGACCAACAAGTTCTCAAGGAGGTTTTATTCCATTTTCTCCGATCGTCAAAAAGAAAACTGAGTCAAGCAAACTTTTCTTATTTACCACCCATACACCACCCCACTGCCTTTACATATTAATCATGACATGTTTAACTAAAGGCAGAGTTCTGATTGGTTCCCTCCCTCTCTGTTTTATCCAATCAGCACACAGTCTTCAACCAGCTGACCAATAGCACGCAGCTTCGTCACGCCTATAGTGCCGTGCTGACTGTTACCATGGCATCCGACCAGAGTTTCTATGAAGCTTTCCGCGAGGCTCAAATGAGCCGAGAGATT